CATAAGATGTGTGAAGATCTCTGAATATAGAAGCTTATACTGGAGTCCTCAAGCTCAGAGTTACCCATGTGACAGTCCTAGGGGACTTCAGGGACCAGCATGAGAGTGTCCACTCGTGGCCCTTTACTGATTCAGATCATAGTGGCCAAACAATCTAACATTTGAAATATGAGCTTTATGAGTTTCAAAAAAGAAATTTTGAGAAAGCAAAGCAAGAATTTTTTTAAAATAACATTTGAAAGCCTTTCCCATCATCCTTCTGCTCTAATATTCTGACAGCATTACAACCAGTATAACCTGGGTGAGGATGAATGACAAATATTGATTTTCTGTGGCCAACCTAAGTGGGATAGAAAAGGAAATGAAAATCTTTGTAAATAGATTCAGGAGTCCTGTTTAGGAAATTATTTGTGTCATTTATTAAATGTAATGTGATATATCCACAACATGACAACTAACTATATCAACACTTACTAGAAAACAAAGCTGCAATGCATTTTTCACATTGACAACATACTCACAGAAGGTCAAGGGCACTATGACAGTAAGTCAAAGCGATCAGGCTCACAGAATACCAAGGGGAGCGTTCTGCACATCTCCAAATTTCCTGTGTTGTTATGCATTGGGAATCATCTGGCCACGCCATGATTTTTCACTTTTCAAAGTCCTCCTAAACTCTGCTGTTCTTTCATCCAGTAATTAATGCATTAGATCCAAATATAATGAGTGTCTGTCATTGGGAGGGTATAAGAAAAGGGTAGGATGACTGAGCCTGTGTTTGGCTGTTGTGATTTTTGCCTAAGCAAATTATCTGGCTTCCCACTAAAAAATCACTGTGAAACTGCATCTTACTTCCTTCATAGGAAAATGAGCAATCCAGGAAGGAATTATCTCTACAGGCCACTCCCATGCTCTTAGGGTAATGAAAGGCTAAAATATCCAAAGGAAAATAATGAAAATCAAATGAGTATTTGCCAAATAACTTTATAAACTTTATAGTCACTATATAAAGATACAAACATTTACATAAGAATTACTTTTACCTGGTGGTTGATGTTTTTGTTTAAAATAATATTGTTGTAAATGTGCATGTGAGTCAGGAGAAATATAGTAATATATTGTATGCACCACCCTTTGTTGTTATAGTGAAAGATATGTTAAGCGCTTGATCTAACTAGAATACAAGACTCTTTGGAAATAAATCATATGGCTACTATTTACTTTTTTAGCCATGAGACTAAAATGAATGGCAAATTTGATCTCATGTCAAGTGCATTTCTTGCTAAAGCGTGATCCTTAGAATTAGTATTGACATTTATCAAGGTCATCATAATCTTGAATTAAATGCTTCAAAAGCTACATTGAGTCTGTATTCTCATAGTATGTGTATTCAACAATTTTCATGTCAAACTAGTTAGTCTAATATAACTGAGATCAAAACAATTGACAGAAATCCAATGATCTGTCAACTGATTCAAGGAGATGTGTGAAACATCCAAATGTGATAGTTAGCTTGATAATTAAACCCATTACTTGCTTCTTGATTCACAAAATGGTAAATAAAGAGTAATAGTGCTGCTCTGAACCAATCCCCATTCTATACTTAACATAAGCCCTATATTATATTATTAGGTAGTAAATATGTACTAAGTCAAAAATACTTCTGATCAATATTTTTCAATTATGACCTACCATAGTACAATTGTTAATGTGCCTTTTCATTAGTTTGTACCTTAACTACATAACAGTGTGAAACCTGACCGAAGCTTTCCACCTGGTATAATTTCTGTTTCTTTTAAATCCCAGCCTTCCATTTCCAGTAATGTAGGGTTACTTGCCAAACTAGCATATTTTCATTATAGATATTAAGTTATCTAGCTATACTGCAGAGGAAGCTATTAATATTTCATTTTCCTGAATACATTTTGTGAAACTTAAAAGACCGTTGTAAACTCACATACGAATATGGCAAGCTACTTCTAGCAAATAGAGAAGCATAAAGCAGTAAAGAGATACTACTAATAAACAGTAATTAAAAAATATCTGCAGTTAAGAGTAAGACTATGAAATGCATTATTTTCAGGAGCTTAAAATATACTTGATAATTTTGATTGTGCCTTAAAATGAGGATTCTTTGCACAGGTTGCATAATCCATTTACTAGCCTAATTTGTCAGCATATTCTTTAACGTCATCTGTATTTATGCTGAAAGTACTGCCACTAAAGTGTTTTGCTCATGTTAATTGATAAAAACTGAATACTTCCCTTTATACTATCTCTTTTTAAAATATAACATACTTACATACCAAATTCATTTAACTCTAAGTAATGTATTGGCCAAATACTAAATACATTAAAACATGGTTTAATTACATGATACTTTATTTGCTACATTGCTGACACTAAATCTAAGAGGCTAAGTTTAATATTATGAAAATAAAGTGTTATGTCAAAAACAACTGACAAAAGAGAAAATAGAGTTAGAAATCTCATCTAAATTACAATAAAATAGGAAAAAAGTAATAATTTTATGATAATTTTCTTTCCTCACCAAATAACTGAGAGAATAACAATGTATAATGAAAGTGTTTAATTTAAGAAATTGCTTAGGGTAAAATATGACAATAAAGAAAAGTTAGATAAAATAAATTTTTATTTCTGTAAAAGCAAAAGGCTTCTAATAAAACAAAAAAGAGCACATATGAATTTATGATAATTTCTATTAAGTTTCAAATATATTACCTTAATAACAAAAAATCGTCTTAGGTGCTGTTTAATAATATTAAACCACTTTTAGATTGTTGCAATGTGTAATTTTTTATATATTAGATGGATCACAAAGGTAAAGAAATAACTGCATTAATGAAACATGGTCTGAATATTTAAGTTAAAAAAATTCTCAATCTAATATGCCTCCACTTCAGCTCACTTTCTCTCTCCCTCTCTCTCTCTCTCAGTCTCTGCAGTAAAGACTACCATAGTTATCTCATGGAGATAGCTCACACCGGCGTCTGCCAGTGGTAACAGCAGATGCTTATTGAGAAAGGGTTTATCTACATTTCATCCAAAATATGTGAACCATTACGGAAATTATAAAAAACAGCAACAATACACTGGTTTTATTCAGAACCTTTCCCTTAGTGATTATTAAAAGGATGATATTTTTAGCCAAAGAAAGCAACATGCATCTGCAGCAGCTGGTTTCCAAGGAAACAGAATAATTTAAAAGCATGTGGAACTCTGCTCTCTCATTTTCATCAATTCTCCTTCATTCCTGGAGTTAGCTTTACTTGGAATTTTTAATTGCCAAAAAATATAACTGCCTTGGCTTATTTTCTCTAACACATATCAGGCAGTGAATATCTGGTCTTATATGTCATCCTAAATTCCAACCTAGGAGGTAGATTAATTTCTATTATCATTTTGTTTTAAAAACCATGATCAAAAGAATCAATAATGAGAAACATGGCAATGGCTCAGTACCATACGATAATTTTTGAAATCCAGAAATAGTTTAACATAAACCATGCAAGAGTGTTTGCTTGGGTCATTATGACACTTAAGTATGTAAGTATTTACATACAGAGAGTATTAAATACAGAGAGTATTACTCTCTGTATTTAGTACATTTAGGAAGTTTAAGATAGTTCTCCATTCATGTAGATAATTGTTACCCAATATTCAGTAGTTTCCCTCCCCTTTTTAAAAATTTTGCAAGAAATGTTGTTTTTGTCTGATATTTAAAGATAAAACTTATCTTTTAAATTACAAAAAGCAAAAACAGGACCCCCCCCAAAACCTTAGAAATTATTTATATTCATTCCTATTAGTTTGTGATTCATTAAAAAAAAGTATTTTAAAAATATATTACTTCATTGAAATGATGTAATCAATTACATCATTGAAAGACTTTTATTTTGTTATTCCAATCAACAAGTATTAATTAATTGCCAATGGACCCAGGTCAGTAATAATCTCTCTTTAAAAAAGCTCAGTGTTTCAAAGGTTACCCCACCCTATTGACCTATATTTATGAATTAAGAAAAGAATAAAATAAAATAACTTGGAATAAAATTTTTCAATGTATTTACTGTAAGTGTGTCAGTCTACATATCTGGAACTTTCGTATTTTCCCTAAGTAGGGGGGTGGCGGGGAGACAATATTAACATATATAAGCCACTGATAAAGTAAAATCTTAACTTTTCAGCTTTAAAAAAATATTGCCTAGAAATATTCCCAACAACATGAATACTATGATGGAATTCTTATCCAGATATATTTTATTGATAAATGAAACTAGCAATGAAACTGGGCTATTATGATGTAATTTTTATGGTAATGTTTAATTTTTCCCAAATAGGTTTCTGTGCTTTTAAAATGAAAGCAGTCCCATGCATATTGACAAGTATAGAGTTTACATATAACATACGCTTAAAATTTACTAAATAAAATGATGCAACTACTCAATAGCATAAGATTTATCAATAAAGAAAGTTAAAAGGAATTAAATGCACATAAATCACTCATTCTAAATTAGTGCTAAAAGGGTCTACAGCCAGCAAAAATTATTTTTCTAAGCCATTCGCTATATTGTAAATATTAGAAGACACCACATGAAATTATACATTGTATATTTAGAGAAAGGTCCATTTTCCCAGGACCTGTGGAATTTCCCGAGCTCTCCTTTGATTCGTAACAACATAAGCTTAAGTAAAAGCAAAAAAGGCACACGATGACTCATTTTATCAATTAATTTTGCTTCAGGAACGCATGCCTAGAAAGTTACCCAGGATAAGACAAGCCTCCGGTGTTTTTATCCGCTAAGGGTTCTGCAGGGAGAAAGAACTACTCACTACAAAGCTCCCTCAAGCAATGAAAAGGACATACTTTCAGGAAATGTCTTCAGAATGACTTTCATATTACAAAATTCTCTTAGTGGGAATTGAGAAGCATTTTCTTTTGAATAAAAATAACATTTTATCTTCTTGTTTGTCCTTACCTGTAAATATGGTTTCTGTACTCCTGCTCCGTCAGATCAGACTGAAGACTTCACTCCTCCCTCTTCTATCCATCAGGCAGCAGCCAACCAATAACAAAAGCCAGATCCTGGCATTCTCTGGTTCCCGCTCCGCTCTGGTTCCCTCCCTGACTCCCTCCCACCCCCACTCTTTTGGAAGACAAATCCTTGCAGCTGGGAGAGAGACAGGAAGTGGAGAAAAAGAATATGGAGAAGAAAGGAATAAAGAGATGAAAGATATTTCAAAGAACAGCGCCTATGAAAAATATCTGTAGGTGAACTCAGCTGAAGGAAAATGTCTTGCTTTGGATTTAGGAAAACAGGGTCAATCAATCCTCACTCAGCTGAAATCAAAGCAAAACACAGTGAAACTGAGGTAAATTGCCTATTAATTCAGCTCCCGCTGTTTTTCCCAGTGAAAAAATTTATCCCCTCATTGCACATTTTGATATGCAGATAGACCAGGTTGAGGCTGAACATCAAGATGATATTATGCATCTAGAGTCTTGCAAAGAGATAAAATTAAACTGACTTCAGACCTTCTACATTGATAGATCATACTATTTGCATTTCAACCTCTGTTTGGCACTGTTTCCATTTAAAACCAGTGTCAAAGCCTAATCAGTATGAAAAATATATGTTATCCTGAATGTTAGAATATTCAAATATTTCAAAATTGTGTGGTTTGCATTCCTTCATATTTCTTAAGTGTTGGCATCAATTTGGTCTATGTAAATAATGGAGCTTGTTAAAGATTAAATAAAAAGGAATCAGCACTTAGTTGCCATGTCTCAAAGTGACTAATTAAACTCCAATTTTATTCTAGTAACCTTGGGCAAAATCATCTCATGTCTGAACTAGAAAGCATAACATGTGAAAAAGAACAATGGGGGAAAACATCACATTAGAATTCTTTAAGGCAACAAAACAAATTCATCCACAGCGTAAAGGATGTTAGGTGGAGACTATCAAAGAATTCAAAATATCTATATCTATATCTATATCTATATCTATATCTATATCTATATCTATATCTATATCTATATCTATATCTATATCTATATCTATATCCATATCCATATCCATATCCATATCCATATCCATATCCATATCTATCTAAATTATATATCTATATTTATATCATTATCCATATCTATATATCTATCTACATTTACACAGTATATTCTTAATTAGAGGTCTAGTGCACAAAATTTGTGCACGGTGGGGTGGGTTAGGGGTCCCTCAGCCCAGCCTGAACCCTCTCGCAATCCAGGACTGCTGGCTTCTAACTGCTCGCCTGCCTGCCTGATCACCCTAACCGCCTCTGCCTTGGCCCCTGCCACTGCACCTTCATCTAAAAGCACGTCTGGAATAACATCCAGAAGGTTGTTCTGCTGTCCAGTCTAATTAGCATATTATGCTTTTATTATTATAGATATTCAAAATATAATACAAACCATAATTCTTTATGATAAAAGGAACTATTAATTGAGCTTCTGCTTCTCAAGGTAGTCTGATAATGTTTTCTTGTGGAGATGTAAATTAAACAATGGATGTTATTTCTATCTTAGAGGTATCTACTACCTACCTGAGATATGTATAGGCTTTGCAACTTAATTTCTTAAATAAGTAATATGGAAATAAGACTAAGAGAAAAAAGAAGAGAGAGAAATAGCAAGGAAATATTCTTTATTTCCAAGAGTAACTGTCATGAGGGTAAATATTGATAGTCTAGAAATAACTGTATGAAAGGGTTTAGGGGTGTCAATACTGTTAGGAAGAGAGTGGCTGGTAACTTCACCTGAAACTGACTTGTAGATAGAAGGGTAATGATTTTTACTGTGTGCACAGTTATTTGGAGTAGCTTTGGAAGGCTCTGCTTGAGATAAGGGGAAGGTTAAACCATCCCTTATTTCCATCCTAAGCCCTCTGCCTTAGAAAATGCTTTTAAAGGCCCTGTCGTCCTACAGCTAGGAATAGCTGAAAATATCCCTAGAACAACATTTCTAAAAATGGGGGCCTGGGTCATCTGCATCAGAATCATTGCTGGGAAGCAAGTTAAAAATGCAGATCTGCCCTGCTGGTGCGGCTCAGTGGTTAAGCATCAACCTATGAACCAGGCGGTCACGGTTCAACTCCTAGTCAGGCACATGCCGGGTGTGTGGGCTTGATCCCCAGTGTGGGGGTGTTGTGCAGGAGGTGGCTGATTAATGATTCTCTCTCATCATTAATGTTTCTGTCTTTCATTCTCTCCCTTCCTCTCTGAAATAAAAAAATAAAATAAAATATTTTAAAAATGCAGATTTGTTACTCCCCCCCCCCCCCCACTTAAGGAATTAGCATTTGAGGAGTTTGTGATTTAGCACCCCAGGGGATTTTTATGCTAACTATTCTAGGTCAGCGACTCAGTAGACAAGTGTTCCTTGGACACAAACTCGAACCAGATTATTTCTGGTTTGATTAAGGCACCATTATCTTAGATAAAGGAAAAAGAAGAGGTGGTAGAGTTGGGGGAGATAAACTTAGTTGGGACATTTGATTTTTTTTTTTTTAATATCCAGATTAGAATATTATGTACTCAGTTGAAATCATGAATAGGTCTGAGGTCTAGGTACAATTTGGAGACTATGGTATGGTTAATGCAATGAAAAGTGAATGAGTGTCCTTGGGGCCAATCTCCTCAAAATTGTGGCCTAAGAAACTTCTTTCTAAAAATTAAAAGTACAGACTAGGACGCCACCCCACACCACTGAATCAGAGGCTCTGCAGTGGGGCTTAGGAAGCTCCATTTTCAATAAATTTCCAAGCTAACTTTCTTTGTGTACTAAACTTCGGGAATCATTACTCTAGAAAAAGAAGTAAATTGAGGATGAAGCTTTGGGGATGACTTGCATTCATAAAGAACAAACAGAGGAAGTCCTATAAAGAAAAGATACTTAAGAGGAACAGTTAGCAAGGAGGGGAGTCCCCCCAAAAAACTGGTGTAGAAAAATCCAAAGGAATAGAGAACTTCGAGAAAAGGCCCCATCAAAGGCCACAGCGAGGTCTACGGCCTTACAGTGATGGCGAACCTTTTGAGCTCGGTGTGTCAGCATTTTGAAAAACCTTAACTTAACTCTGGTGCCATGTCACATATAGAAATTTTTTGATATTTGCAACCATAGTAAAACAAAGACTTATATTTTTGATATTTATTTTATATATTTAAATGCCATTTAACAAAGAAAAATCAACCAAAAAAATGAGTTCGTGTGTCACCTCTGACACACCTGTCATAGGTTCGCCATCACTGCCAGCTCATGGAAGTCAAACAGCCCCTAGGGCTTGTTGCGATATAGAATCTTGGGTCCTATGCCAGCAAACTAAATCACAATTTCAACAGGATCCATAAGTGAGTCCCATGCACATTTAAGTTTTATTTTTTTTTTCACTCAAATATATTTGACATATAACAATGTGTAAATTTAAGGTGTAAAATATGTTAATTTAATACACTTATATATTGCAATATGATAGCTATTGTAGTACTAGCTAGCATCTCTATCATGTTGCATCACCATCCTTTCTTTTTAGTGGTTGGAATAATTAAGTCTAATCTCTTAGCAAGTTTGGTGATTATAATACAGTATTGCTGTCTATACTCACTGTGCTGTGCATTAGCTATCCAGGGCTTATTTACTAATGTTTGTAAGTTTGTATCCTTAAACAATATCTGTCCTGACCACTCCAACTCCCTCCCTCTGGTAACCACCATTTTGTTCTCTGTTTTTACAAGTTCGGCTTTTTAAAATTCCACATATAAGTGATATTGAGACAGTATATGGACGTGGGCCCAGGAATAGGAAAATACCAGGTGATGTCAAACTACTGTTCTGCACGTGCAGTTGCTCAAGGTTGGCCACTATATATATGACCTTCCTGGGGTGGAGGAAGTGAGCAACACCGAAACTATCACAAAATATGACATTTACGTTAGAAGAAGATTGTGGATCAAATGATGTATCAGTTTTTCTTTTCTTGGTAAGGAGATACTCTCAATCAAAAGAAAACTGGTAACATGGTTTCCTTAGGGATTCATACTGAAAATAGCTGCAGATAGGGTTGTTAATTTCATAACAATCAAGTGACATTAATAAAATATTTTTGAGAAACATAAAACATATCCAAGTGCCTTGCTTCTATGCACATTCCCTAGGGAGTGCCTAATAAAATAAATGAGAATAAGCAATAGAAAACTTTATAGGTCAGCATGAATAAACAACATAGTAGATGCTTTTCTTAAATTAAAATAAAGTTTTAATTTAAGAACAAGTAATTTAAACCTTAAACTATATGATGTTTGAACATGAGTTGTAACTCATTAAAAGATGGATATCACTTTGGGTCTAAAGGCATTATTCCATGTTGTCCCAAATACTCACAAACTTACTTGTCTTCTGGAAGCACAGTAAGAAATTTTTTCAAAGGTGTGATTTATTTTATGAAAATGTGCAGAATGTCTGTACTTGAAATGCCACCGTAATGACTGGTTATTGTTAGACAGACAGGAGCAGAGCAAGATGATGGGCCCAGGACAGAAACGCCAGGGCAGAAAGCCCCGGAGACCTAGCAAGGGCCCAAACTGGGAGAACAAGAGCCTTGTCCTCAGGGTGACTTCCCTCGCCTAGCATATCGCTGGTCCTGTGGTTTGGACCCCTGACCTTCCCTCCCCTAGCATATCGCTGGTCCTGTGGTTTGGACCCCTGACCTTCCCTCCCCTAGCATATCGCTGGTCCTGTGGTTTGGACCCCTGACCTTCCCTCCCCTAGCATATCGCTGGTCCTGTGGTTTGGACCCCTGACCTTTCCTCCCCTAGCATATCGCTGGTCCTGTGGTTTGGACCCCTGACCTTTCCTCCCTAAAGACAACATCTAGGCTTCAGTTGTGTTTCAGCTCCAGGCCCAGGAAAACAGCAAAAACAGACAAGTAATGCCATGGCTGCCTAAGGACCAGCTACATTTGACTAATGTGCCCCTGCCCTGGCACCAACCAGTTAGTGCAGAGCACAGCCTGAAAGAG